ACACACTGCCACAGGTAAAACACACTGCTACAGGTAAAACACACTGCTGCAGGTAACTCTCTTTCTCTCAGAGTCTCTTTGGTTTATTTCCTTTTTTTAGTTTTTATTATAAAATATTCTAAATATTTTCTGTCTGCATCTTTCAGCCCGATATGGATAGATATAAATGTGATTTTATAGATATAGATGTGATTAATAGCATGAACTTATTTCTCTGCTGTTATGCAAATAATATTTTACATCAAAAAGTTTTAAATGAAGATGAAAAATATCTGACAAACGGCCAAAAGTGATTTTCTTTATTTTACTTGTAAATTTAAATGTTTTGCCTTTTTTTTAACTAAAATATTTAAATTTTGTGCTTCAGCTTAGATGAAACATTCCTGGAACTTCTTCAGAAGAAATCTTTAAATAAAATGATCCAAAATGTTTTAATTTAGCTGCTGAAGCTGAAATAATTCTGAGAGACGATCCGTTTACCAGTCTGAGCTTCCAGAACCATTTGGCTAGATGGGTCTGTGTGACAGTGTGCATGTGTGTGTGTTACAGTATGTGTGTTCCACCACCCTGACCCCTCTGTCTCCCCTCAGTGCCTCCAGAAGCGGCGGTACGGCCCCATGTGGCGATCCCGGTTCGGTCCGTTCCAGCTGGTGAACGTGGCGTCTCCGCGGCTCATTGCCCAGGTGATCCAGCAGGAGGGCCGGTACCCGGTCCGGGTCGAGCTGCCGCACTGGAAGGAGTACCGGGACCTGAGGGGGCAGGCGTACGGCCTGCATGTGGAGTGAGTCCAGAGTCTGTCTGCTGAACCAGATCAAAACTGGATCAGAACCAGATCAGAACCAGATCTGGTTGATTATTAATATCTGAATTGTGACTCTAATCTGTTGTCATGACAACGTGTGGCTGAATAGAAATGTCTGGTTCCTCATAAAGCGTCTTCAGGCTCCTGATAAAATTCTGTTTCTTCATAAACGTTTAAAGTCTCATGATTTTTCAGCAGTCCGACTCTGATCGCTGATCGGGTCTCACTGTGGTTCTACAGATCTGGACCGGAGTGGCACCGGATCCGCAGTGTCCTGAACCCCAAGATGCTGCGACCCAGAGAGGTGTCGGTCTTCGCCCCGGTGGTCCAGTCCGTGGTGGACGACCTGCTGGCCCGGCTGGAACTACTGCGGCGCCGCAGCCCCGACGGTGCCACCGTGCCCGACCTGGCTGCCGAGCTCTACAAGTTTGGCTTTGAAGGTGGGTGAGGCTTCAGGCTGGGGGCGGGGCATCAGGCTGGGGGTGTGATTTGCTACAGCTGTGTGACCTTTATCAGATTGGGGGATTTGGGGATGTGGCCTTCAGTGGGTGTCTTCATGTTTTGGGGGCGTGTCTTCATGTTTTGGGGGCGTGTCTTCATGTTTTGGGGCGTGTCCTTCTCATCAGCTGACGACCTGCCTTCCTGCAGGCATTTCTGCCGTCCTGTTTGAAACGCGGCTCGGATGCCTACAGGAGGAAATCCCCACCGACACGCTGCGCTTCATCACCGCCGTCAACGACATGCTGACGCTGTCCGACCTGGTGGTGCTGCTGCCGCGCTGGAGCCGTAGGCTCCTCCCCTTCTGGAGACGCTTCGTCCAGGCCTGGGACGACCTCTACGGCGTAGGTAGGTCAGCAGCTGGACTTCCTGAAACACGGAACCGGACCCAGTAACTGGTCCCAGTAACTGGTCCCAATAACCGGTCTCGTCTCCTCAGCTCAGAAGCTGGTGGACCAGCGGATGGCGGAGCTGGCGGCGCAGCCTGGCAATGGCGGGGGCGGTGAGGGGATGTACCTGACATACCTGCTGTCGTCTGATAGGCTGAGCAGAGCTGAGGTTTACATCAGCGTGACGGAGCTGATGCTGGGCGGCGTCGACACGGTGAGTAACGCCATGAGGCATCGATGTGACGCCATGTTTAGATGGGAACACTGAATGGAGTAAAAACACCAGAAACTCAGATTAACAGAAATTAATCTCTGAAATATGAGTTGTTGGTTTTTTGGTGATAATGTTTTTCTTTTCTTTCAGCCTCAATGAACTTATTTATAAAAACAATAAAAATGTGATGAACTATTTTAGCAAACTTCCCCATCAGTTTGCGTTTCTTTCTCAGTTAAAGAAGTGAATCAGTAAGTTTCACACATTAACATTTAAATATAATTTCAAATTTACTGAATTTTATTGAGGCTCTTTGTGACAAATAGAGGAAAAAACAGTAAAACTAAGATTTCTGGTCATAGTTTTGTTTTGTGTCGTTCAAGAAAATGTTTTTATGTTTCTGTCGTTTCTTCAAACTGTTTCTGTTTCCTCTGCTGCCAACAGGAAGTTCATGAAAACACATCTTATGTAATAATTAGTTTCTCTTTAAAATGGTAAACCTCTTCCTGTTTTTCCTCTGATACCTGGAGATGTCTTTACAGCTAGTCATTGTTTTCAGATGTTTTTATGAAGCTCTTAGATGAAGCGGATCGATTACAGAAACCTGACCTGACCCGACCCGCTGCGCCTCGCCTCGGCGCCGCTCGGTTCTGGATGAGTCAGAGCTGAAACATTCAGATCATATCTGAACAGGTTCAGACCTGAACAGAACAAAGAGTTAATTCCTCTGAGTCTCTGCAGGAGCAACGATCAGCAGAGACTCAGTTATCTAAATGTCACAGTTTGTTCAAATCATCTTAATATTTCCTGTTTGACCTTTGAACCTTCGGTTCAGCTGGAGCTTTAGGAAACATTTTGCTGTGTCGTCGTTTTTCTGATCAGAGAATCTGAAACGTCATGAAGACTGAGGAACCGGAGCTGCTGCTTATTAATTAATATTAACATTTTATTAATTATTAACAACTTTTTGTTTCTGCTCCTTTAGATTGACTCAGATTTTATCTCCAGATTAACGTAACAAACTAAATCCTGGTTTGATTCTGTAAAAATATTTATATTATTTATAAAATATAAACCAAAAGTGATGAATTCATAAACCTCAGATGAATCACTTATTTAGTCCTAATCTCAATAATCTAATAAATTAGGATCTAAATGAACCAAAATATTTCAAAATATGAAAACTAATTAAATACAGATAAAGATCATCTGAAATATTTTCTAGATATTGATAAAAATGTTTAGAACAAATAAAATATGAAATAATGACAATATTCTAAATAAATGAGACGTTTTTCTTGATAATTTCTTCCTCTGTGGATTTTTGATAAGCAGTTTAATGATAATCTGGGATTATCCTCCTAATCTGGGTTCTGAAGTGATTGGTTCTGATCATTTCAGAGATCAAACCTGTAAATAATAAATCTATAACTGAACGTTTCCTCCTCCAGACGTCCAACACTCTGTCCTGGGCTCTGTACCATCTGGCCCGGGACCGACCCGCCCAGAACCGCCTGCAGGCCGAGGTAGACTCCGTCTGCCCCGACCGCCGGCCGCCCAGCACACAGCAGCTGGGCAGGATGCCCTACCTGAGGGCCGTCATCAAGGAGACGCTGCGGTGAGACGCCCTGCCCACAACCTGACAGGAAGCAGGAAGTGACAGAAAATAAAGAAAATACATGAGATATCATCAGAATATTTCGGAATATTCCAGAATCTCGTCTCAAATCAAAGTTTTTCTCAGACTGTTTTCACATTCTGTCATAGTTTAGCTGAAATCTGAGACTAAATCATGATTTTAAGGTAAAAACATCCTCAGACGTTTAGCTTTTTCCTTTTCTGACCCGTTTAGTTTCACAGAACCTCATCAGACCCGACGGGTCAGAACAGAACCTGGTTCTGATCAGAAGGGCCTAGTCAAAGTAGGAACTTCTAATGCCTCCTGGTTTGTTATTCTCAGTTTGTGGAGCAGTTCAGAACCTTTTCCTGCTTCCTGTTGGCCTAGTCAAAGCCCGCTCTAAATCATCCATATTCTCCTGTCAAGTTTCAGTTCCAATAAAAACAGAGAAAAAGAAAAACTCCAGATGGAGGATTGTATTCAGATGGAAATGAACTTAAATTAAAATCATGAGCTAAAAGGAGAAAAACCAGAATTTAAATTCATTTAAATAAATTTTAATTAGTTTAAACAAGCCTCTGTCTCTCCTGCCTGCAGGTTAAAGCCACTGAAATAAATTTTTTAAACAAAGTTTTTCTGGTTCACCGCCCTCAGCGCTCCATCCGATTGCTGAGCATTTCCATGGCGATGGCCATGATGCTGCCACCACCATGTTCAGAAAGTTTCGGTCTGAGCTTCATGGAGCGTGTCAGCGTCTTACAGCCTGCAGAGAGACAGGAAGGTCCTGATCTGTGTGCGTGTGTGTCTATGTGGGTGTGGGTGTGTCTGTGCGTGTGTGTGTTGCAGCTTGTATCCGGTGGTGCATGGAAACGGACGGCTGGTGTCAGAGAACGAGGTGGTGGTGGATGAGTTCTGGTTCCCCAAGAAGGTAAGAGGAGAAAGAGGAGATGCATTTGTCTGTCTGTCCTCATCCTGTTCCCCCATCTGTCTCTCTGTCCCCCTGCAGACTCAGTTCCACCTGTGTCACTACGCTGCGTCCCACGATGAGGAGGAGTTCGTGGCGCCGGAGGAGTTCCTGCCGCAGCGCTGGCTGCAGCTGGAATCTCCCAGCAGCCATTGCGGCAGAGCCACGCCTGGTTTCTACCGCCATCATCCCTACAGCTTCATCCCGTTTGGAGTCGGAGTGAGAGCCTGTGTCGGCAAGAGGCTGGCAGAGATGGAGATGCACCTGGCTCTGTCCAGGGTGAGGAAGGGAGGAGACACACACACACACACACACATACACATACACACACAGAGAGAGAGAAGGAGCGAGGGAGACACAGACCAGTGTGTTTTTGATTTATTTAATGTATCTGTTTTCCTGTGTGTGTGTGTGTGTTTCCTGTGTGTGTGTTTCCTGTGTGTGTCCTCCAGCTGATGCAGCACTACGACGTTCACCCTGAAGTCGGATCTCCTCTCATTGAGCCTAAAACCAGAACTCTTCTGATCCCGTCCAGACCCATCAACCTGCGCTTCCTGCCCAGAGCCTGAAGGTGGCAGCACTCGCTCTCCTGCTGTTTTCTGAAACCGTTTACAGCTTCTTCATGTCCTCCACAGTCAGTCTCACTGAAACTCATTTCTGACCAACAGGAAGTAGAAAATCTCTGAACAGATCTTCATCATGTTGATGTTCAGGAAGATAAAAACATTAAATTTGTTTCTGGATCAGTTTATTCAGGGTGTGAATACTTTAGCTTGGTGTGTTAGTTGTTGTAGCGCCCCCTGAAGGCCAAACATAACCAGATTTACCTGCTGGAGATAATTACAGCACATTTTTAATAATAAAATAACAGATTTTAAATGAAGTAATACAAACTAATAAAAGATTTCTGACTCAGCAGCATTTCTCATACATTTTATGTTTTTATCCCCATTAATGCTGTTTTTGTCTGAATTATTAATTTTTGTATCAGTATTATTAATGTTTTCATCAGGATTCATCCTGTTTTCCAGCCTCATGGCTCTTTGTTCTGTTTGTTTGTGTGTTTCTCAGAGCCTCCAGCAGGGGGCGACGCCTCATTCAGGGTTGGATTCTTCACCACGTCCAGAGGAGAAGCTTTAACAGAAACATTTTTATTAATATTCAGTTTATTGAAGCTGAAGATGATTTTCTGCCTCTGTATCGGTTTCTGTCCTCACCGCTTTTAAAGTCTGGGCTTTGACTAGGCCGTTTCTGTGCTCTGAGCTCCAGCTGCTCTGGAACAGATGGCCCACATCATGACACCTCCACCACCGGCCCCGACATCGTGTTGTAGTTCTATGAGCTTTCTGACCTTTGACCTGCAGATGGAGAAGATCAGAGGAAGAAGTGGAAGCTCAGTTTGGTTAGCATTTAGCTTGTTGCTAATATGTGGTTAGCATTTAGCTTGCTGCGGCCTGACTGCGTTCTTCATGTGTTTGAATGTACCTGTGCCTTTCTGAAGTATATTTATTGTTACAACAGGGAAATTATTTTACTGTAAAACCATCTTTTAAATTCTGAACTTTGTATTTCTGATTTATTACTTAGAAAAAATATATTTTGAAATTAACAGAAACATTTTGTAAATCATTTAAATTCTGGATGTTGATCCTTTTTGATGCTTTTATTCATATTTCTGTTTCTCTCCATAAAGTTGAATAAACTATTTAATAAAATGTTTCTGTTCTGTACAAGTTTCAAAGCTGCAGGAGTTTCTTACAGCAGTAGGAGACCGACTGCAGCTTTATGACCAAACACTCTGGTCCAGATGGATTGGACCCAAATGGACTCAAACTGGTTCCAGTGCAAACATTCAGTACATCCACTGGTCAGACAAAAAGTCTGGTGTTTGACTCATCTGATCCAACCCAGTTCAGATCCAGTTTGGACCCATCGCCCAGCTTTAACCAGCTAGTTGATGAATTCAGACTTAAACCACTTTAAAACATTTTCCATTCCTAATGTGACAGTAAACCAGTGAACACTGCTCTGTAAACCAGTCACCACCTGCTGGTCCAGTTGCAGCTCCTAGTCTGCCTCCATCATCTTGACTTCCTGTTTTATTTTTAGTTTGATCCAGAAAATTCTAATTCATGCAGAAACTTTTCTGTTCCAGACTGGAGACTTAAAGCTCCACATCATGATGCTGCCACCACCATGTTTCCCTCTGATTTTCTTTTAGTCATTTTCAGGGCTGATAATCTGGTTCCCTGTTTCAATGATTAAAGATGTGATGTTACAGTAAGCTTAGATCTGCTCCAGTAATGATGAGATGACGGATGGTCCCAGAGAGCCGGCGTTTCCCCAGAATTGAGGAAAACTTGTCAGATCCTCTGATAAATGATTCCCTCCAGGATCCATCTTCATCCTGACGGGAGAAACATCCAGATTTCTGACTGCATTTTAGAGATTCAGCATTTATTTCACTTATAAAAATCTATTTTTAGTTTTTATTTAATGGGTCTCTATGACGGAGTATTAGTATTAGAATCATCATCAAAGAATAAATATTTGCTAAAAAAAACTCAGATTAATATTCAGATTAATCTTGGATTTAAAAAAACAAAAAAAACAAGGAAATTTCTGAGTTTCAAAAGTCGAAATAAATAAACTCATAAATTGTGAAAATAATCTCAGTAATTTCTTTCTAAATTCTCAGAGTTTTTTGTCTAAAATAATCTCCTTTATCTCCTTTATGGTTCCGGGTGTTTCTGCTGTAAAATCTGCTGGTTTACCGAGTTAGCATCAAGCTATCGGTGCTGCTACAGCTAAAGGTGCATTTATAAACTCTGCCAGCAGGGGTCGCCGCACAGGCCTGCTGCCTCCTCCTCCTCCTCTTCCTCCTGACGCACCGCCTTCATCATCCGGACCGGACCGCAGCCTGGATGCTCCAGCAGTCCGTGTAGCTGAGAACCGGGTCTCCGTCCTCCCAGCCCGGTCCCGGTCCCGGTTCTGATGGATGGTTAGCCCACCGCCCTGCCTGCTGCTGCGGACCCGGGGAGCCATGGAGTCGGTCGGTGCGGGGGGCTCCGCGGGACTCCGCGGGGCCCCGGGGCCGCAGTGAAGGCGGAGGAACCGCGACCCGCCGCGGGGAACATGGTGAGTACTTCCACGGTCCGGTTCTGACCCGGTTCTGACGTGGTCCTGACTCGTTAAAACCAACGGATTAATGCATGTTGTGTTTATGGGTGTGAGCTGTCCCACGGTCCGTGAAGGGGTCGTGAAAGAATCCAACAGAAATGCAACACTTCCGGTTCTTCTTCGCTAAAACCTGGTAATTTATGTGACGTCACGTTGACATGTTTCCAGAAAGTCAACAGACAGAAGCGCTGATGCATTTTCCTGCGTTTGGACCGGAACGTGAACGCATCACGTGATTCCTCATCTTAAGCATTGGGTCAAAACATTAGGCTACAGCAGGGGTCAGAGGTTACTGCAGGGGTCAGAGGTTACTGCAGATTGTTACAACAATCAGAATAAATCTCAGAAACTTTACAGTTTGAGAAATCAGGCCTGAATAATGGAGTGCTGCAGTTCTGGTTCTGATCTGGTTCTGGTTCTGATGGGATCAGCCTGTGGTTCTGATTCACTTCATCCAGTTGGATCAGTTTGATCCTCAGCAGCTGATTGGTCTCATCAGACAGGAAGTGACATCAGCAGATGAATCTGAGTTTATGATGGCTCCTCTGTCTCCAGGTTGCCACCTGACAGGAAGTGACATCACTCGCCAGCTCCTCTGCGTCTTTATGTAACCTGCTGAGGAGGCGTGAGAACGCCTCGCCAAGTCATGGCGGCGGGTGGGCGAGAGCGTCAGAATGATCAGCATGAGCCGCAGAGCGAGTCATGAAGCGTGACTCACCTGCCTCCACGTGAGGTCAAAGGTCATCTGCCTATGACAGAGCTGGTGGCTCAGCTGGACTGTTTAAGGTCTGTGGAGCTTTAGTTGTTCAGGTGGAGCTTTAGTTGTTCAGGTGGAGCTCCAGGTGTTCAGGGAATCGTATTTATTGATGTGATTTCAGTTGGTTATCAGGTGATCGTTCTGATCCTTTATTTTGAAAATCTTTCTAATGGACCGTGTCCCCTGGTAAACCATTGACCTCACTGACACCATGTTTTGGGTCTCTGCTGCCTGGTAATGCTGAGGTCATGAAGGTCGTTCTGGGTCGTGTCTCTTCATCCTGAGCTCCCAGTGGAGCATCAGCCCAGAGGACAGTCTGTCTCCGTCCCTGTGATGGGACGTCTGCTGCCGGCGGCGTCTCTGTCACGTTTTCCCATCAGCCCCGGCGGCTCATATTGATGATCCAGCCGATGGAGGCCAGCCGGCCCGGCTGCTGATCTGACCTGCGGCGCCGTTCAGGAGCATCGGAGCGGGTCAGGAAACTTTCTGCTGCTCGCCTCTGGAGCAGCAGAAACGACACTGTAATCTAACATGCTGTTATAAAAAAGACTTAAATGAAATATCTGCTGACTGACTTAATAAGTCACTGATCAATCGATCAGTAAACCTGCAGTAATAATTGGTATTGTTCAGATAATCCTAATCTGAGTTGTAATCTGGAACTCGCTTAATTTTGGATTTTAGTGACTGATGGACTTTATTCAGCTGATGAAGAGTTTATAACTCATTTTCAGAATAAATCAGGATTAAACTCAACAACATGAATGCTCTTAAAGGGCCGGCGGCACCAGAATCAATAAAACCCATTAATAACTTGTTCAAATATTAATAGGACTCTCTGGATTAGTTCCTCTTAAAATTAAATAAATTTGAACATCTGTTCATCTGATCCTCCAGAATTCACTGGGTTTTTGTTTGTTTTGGTAACTTTTTTATTTTTACAGTTAAAATCTCTGATTTTGTGGAGCTCATTCTGAAATATTTGTAATATTTGTTATTATTTCTGGCAGTAAATGTGACTTTTTGTTCCTTGCCGTATCGATCACAGATAATAACTGATAATAATGGATATTAGCTGATAGTAATGGACATCAGGTCAGGCTGAGGCAGCAGAGGAATAAGACATGAATAAGACTTACTGCCACCTGCCGGTGGGAGTTAGCATCACTGTCAGCATTTTTCAGAAAATATTTCAGTAAATCTCACATTGATGCATCAGCCTTAAAAATGTGGCGCTGTGTTGATTTAACTTGAGTTTCCATGAACACAGAATCACAACAAACCGTCGGGACTGACTCATGTAATTCGGGCCTCAAGAAGAGCTTGTGGCGGGCCGGATTTAGCCCTCGGGCCATCAGTTTGACCCACATAAATTAGATCCTTAGTTATGGACCTGCAGGGTTTTAATCATCCATCAGAACTTTATTGATCCATGATTGACTCATCAAATGTTTCTCTGCATCTGACTGGCTGTTCATACCCTCCTGACAACTCCTTCCTCAACACTTTGACCCTAAGCTGATTGGATGATTGAGGACCAATCAGAGGAGAGGACCTCAGCTGTTTGAGGAAGTAAACATCTGGTACGGTTCAGTTCTGGTCCAGTTCGCTGGACGTCCAGAACTTCAGTCAGACTTTAGATAAAGGTGAAGATTAAATTTTTTTTCCTACTTCATTAAACATTATAGACCCTAAATAAAGTCTGATCTGGTTTAGTTTTATTTTTATTTCATGAAATGATTCAGAAATTGACTTTCTGTAAACTTTGTCGTTCTGCTCGGCATCCAGCTGAGGATCACGATGAAGTCAGACGGCAGCAGGTCTGTGGAGGCTACGCAGGAACACTGACTCACTCACACACACACACACACACACACACTGACACACACACACACACAGACTGACTCACACACGCACATGCACTGCGTTCAGGCTGTCGGTGAAATCTGCTCTCTGATGCATCAACAGTTGCTGCTCAGCATGAAGCGTTTCACGTTGCTGGAAGCAGCAACCAGGAGTTGCTGTTGCTCTGCTTATTGCTCATGTTCTGATCTCCTGTTTTATTTCTAAATCTGTGTTCAGTTTTTCCTTCCAGAATGTTTTCAGATATTTTCTCTCATTTTGAACATTTCAGGTCAAAGTGAAGCTGCTGGTTCAGTAAAACATTTTCTACATTAACAGGATGTTTGTGAAGCTGGTCTCACTGGTTTCACTGGTGTGGAGTCCTGCTGACCAGAACCGGGTCTGTTTCTGTTCTGATCGATTTATCAGTCAATAATGTGAGATTAACTATTCTGGATCATATCTGAGTGAATCTGCAGGCCTGGAGTCTTCTCAGAGGTCAAAGGTCAACCTGGTTCAGACATTTTCTGGCTGCTTTCTGCTCCGGTTTTATTGCTGAATCTGATTTTTATTCTGTAACTCTAATTATATGAAGATTAAATTATTTTACATCTTTTCCTTCAGATTTAAAGACATTATTTCTGTAAACCAGGAATATTTTTTGTTAAATATATTTCAGTTTCTTCTTCAGCTGTAAAATAAATCAGATGAATAAATAGCTCAATAGCAGCATGTACAGATTATAATCTGAATTATTAGTCCAGCTGTTAGCAGGATTACAC